GGGAGATGGGATAAAGAGAGATACAGTGATGTATTAAACATATTCTTCTGAGTTTGAATAGCATTATAATTGGCTTGACTAGGAATTAAAAAATACAGAAAGGAACATTTTCCTCTACCTTTTCCAGGAAAATGAACAAGTTACGCGAGGTCACATAGCCAGAAAGAATCAGGGTCAGGGGTCAAAACTAGGCAGTTGGTTCCCCACCCCTTGTGACAGAAAACAGGGGCTACCAACCCTTATGGAACATCTAGTAGTGTAGTGCCCACTTGATGCTCAGTGCAGCAATTCCATGATGCAGACATATGTTCCCATTCACAACGAGACAACAGATTCAGAGAAGGTAAGTGATTCATCCAAGGTCACATAGCTCATAAGTAGAAGAGCCAGAATTCATATTCTAACTCCAAGGTTCATGTTCTTTCTAATATGCTCTTCCAGGCCAATTCCAAGAGACAGATCCCAGCATAGGGAGCACTACTTTTTAAGACTAGACCATAGGTTATTATATAATTGATTATAAACAGGGTAATTTACAAAGAAGTCCCAGAATTTCACAGTTTGCACACAGCTGCACATGGGGAAAACATTTTCTGGATTGCAACTCTGAGAGATTATTGAAAACTAGAGACCTCTCAGCCAAAATAGGATGCCTGATTATTCTAAAGACCATCTGCAAGGGGAGGAATGCCTTAGGCCAGCAGAAATTTTTCCGAGCATGTACTTTGCCAAAGGCTGACTCTCCTGGGATCTGGGTTACTGCTCAGTGGGAGTGACTGAGGATGGAGTTAGGAAAAACCCCGGGGACAAATGCTCCTGCTATGTAAAAAATGAAAAACAGCAACCTTACATACTACCTTTGGAATATAGAATATGGTGCAATTTATGCTATAACAACCTGATACATATTTAAAAGGATGGGAATGGGGAGAAATAATACACCCATATGTTAGCAGTGGCTATTTCTAAGCATGAGACCCTGGGTGCTTCTTGTTTTCTTCTTTATACTTTTATCTATTTTCACAATTTTCCTACAATGTAATAAACATGACCCCAAACAGAATCCAGTCTATGGCTCTAAATGCTGTGTGTTGGACTGTTAATGGGAAGAAGGAAAACTTGTAATTTTTTTGTTCATCCTCTGCCTTCCACTACCCAGTCCCTGCTCCCTCCAGGGCTACCCTGTTGCTTACAATGGCCCAAAATGCCTGGCGGCACACACATGAATTGTAAATGGGTTTCTCCCTCTACCCTGTTTGCCTATTTCTGTGCTCTCTCCCACAGCCAAGATCTTGGGGAAGGTGGGTGAGAGCCTAAGTCGAATCTGCTGTGTCCGCCCACCAGTGGAACGCTTCACCTTTGTGGGTAAGTGAGGACCACCTTCTTTCCCAAACCTGTCTTTTTCCTTTTCCTCCTTCCTTCATTCATTCAGCAAATACCCCGGAAGTACCTGCTGTGAGTGACCATTTATAGAGCAATAATGGAGAGAGGCCAGAGTTCACAGAAATACCAACAGACCTGCAGTGCCCCACCAGGGTGGGAGTCCTGAGGTTGATCAGCCCTGTCTGGGGTCCTCCCCTCTCCTCATGGCTGGGTTCACCCCACCTTGGGTTCCAGTGGGGCCTCCCATATCTGTTTTCCTGCAGAAAGACTCTCTCCTTCATTCCCTCTGCTGGGCTGCTCCCCAAGGACTCACACAGCTGAGAATACCAGAGTCCCTGGGGCTCTTTGCCCAAAATCAACTCCACAGAAGAACTGAAGGCCTAGGCTGCATTCCTTTGACTCTTTGGCCCTATTTCCAATTTCAGACATCTTAAAAAGGAACTGAGAGGGGAGCGAAGCCATGGCTTTGTGTGTGTGCACACTGGTGCGTGCACCCCCTCCTCCCCACTACAGGGCACTGGTCACATGAGAGCACAGCCAATGCCTCTGTCTTTGCACATCTGCCTGTGGATCCTGATGTATACCCCCCCTGTGAAAAATCTCAACATACTCAGTTTGGCTTGTCCATTAAGCCAGGTGACTCCTAAGGGGAGACTGCACAGCTTTCCCCTCAGCTTTGAGGGCTGTCAGAAGGGAAAGGAGCTCACAGACCTGTGTATGTAAGCTAAGTCCAAGGCAACCCTGAGAAGCATCTTACCAAGCAGCTTATCTCCATAAGACACAGAAAGAAAAAGAGGCACTCAACTTGAGTATTATGTGCGCTTGCCACTGGTTCCTCTGTGAGCTTCTACAATCCTGAAAGTCCCATAAATGTGAAGTTCTGCCCTTGGAGTGTGAGGCATCAGCTCCCTATTCACTCTACACAGATGCCCTGTGTGGGAAGATAAACTCACCCTTCACTCCCACCCACTCCACCCCACAGAGGAGCCGTTGGGCTGATCACATACTGGGTACTGCAAGGACTAGGAAGCCAGTTCTCTAATGGTGTGTGTACCCTCTCTTCTCCCTAGATGAGAACGCCAACCTGGGCACAGTGATGCGGTACGAGGAGATTGGTGAGTGGGGTTGGGAGAGCCCGGGCACATTTGGAACTGCCAACCAAAGGGTTGGAAACCCTGAACTGTGTTTGCAACAGGGTCTGCTCTCAGAAGAATAATTTTTCCCAAGCTGAGATCACATTCTTGGGTATCTCCCCTTTAACATCTCCTAAATGGCTTCTTGGTGTGGCGCTGTGGGCTAATGCGTCAGACTGCAAAGTCATTTGAACTTCAAGGTCAGTGGTTCCAGCTCACCAGCTGCTCCTTGGAAACCCTATACAAGGTCCCTATGGGTAGGAATTGACTCGACAGTACTTGACAACAAACAACAACAACTGGCTTTAAGCCAGTTCCCAGGAGATAGGACTGGATAGGTTGGCAAATTTCCCTTTGGAGCCTCCTACTCTCCCTCATCTAAAAGATGTGAGAGCTAAGGTCCAGTGCCAACCAGAGATCTTTCTTTTGCCCATGGAGGCCTAACAGGAATCGGACGCCCTGCCCCACCTTTCCTAACGGAGGTTTTCAGGACTTGACAGTGGAGGGGGAGAGAGGAGGCTGGAAACCTCTTCCATGATCTTCACTGCAGCCTGTTTGGCTAAGGCCAAGCCCTTCCACTATTGGTGAGGGCTGGGGCAGGTGCAGGGCAGCCACACAGAGCTGTCGGAGGGGAGGAAGCGGGCTGATGCTTGTATGTATACTAAGTCCTAGGCAACCCTTAGAAACTACTCCAAAAACAGAAATCTTTCCAAGGACAGACGGATTCCAGAATGGAGTTGGGAGGCTGGGGTTGGCACTGGTACCAGGTGACAAGGAGGGTCTATGACAAGTGGAATGCTGGGTTCTACAAGATGAGGGCAGCCTGGTATCCCATAGAAATGCTCAGTCTTTAGCGTCCTGCTGAAAAGATCCTCTGGGCTCCTCCTCCTCCCCATCCTCTCTTTGGATTGGAGGTCATGGCCTCCTGGGAAGCCGTGGTGTGAAATGTCAAGGGGGCTTCTCTGGTGTCCTCCCCCGACTTGAGGCTCAGCAGTATGCTGGAGTTGGGGCTCACACCAGTTCACCAGAACCCATTGTATAATCTTCAGGGGTTTCTAAACACTGTCATTCAAAAAGTTAGACTATGGAAACCTACCCAAGCCAAACCCAGCCCACTGCTCTCCTGTCCATTCCAACTCACAACAACCCTACAGGATGGAGAACTGTGCCATAGGGTTAGGGTTTTCTAGGCTGTAGTCACTATGGAAACAGACTGCCACATCTTTGTTCCTTGGAGCGGCTGGTGGATTCAAACCATAGACCTTTTGATTAGCAGCTTAACCACTGAGCCACAGGACTCCTTTGTCTAGACTTACCATTAAATGAACTGTATTACAAACAAAAGGTACTGATTACTCACCCCCTTCACTCCCTTATTATTTTACCTCATCTTATATCATTGATTTAGCAACATATCCATGACGACCACCAGAAGAGGTCCCAAAGGAGACAGGTGCCTTTGGCTCCTGGTTGCACAGCTCTAGAGCTCCCAGAAAATCAGGCTGGAGTCTGAGTGGCAGAACCATCGCTTCCCTGCAGCTCTCCATATGGCCAGGAGCGGCCGTCTCCCCAACCAGCCAAGCTCAGAGCAAGTCTGTAGACTTGTAAACTTTATTCCAGTGTATACTTGTCTTCTTGTTCCAAAGAGAAATTTTTTTTGTGGCCACAGGCTGTAGCCTTGTTTATATTCCCAGAACCCAGGACTGAAACACTAGGGCATCTCCTACAGTCCCGTCCTCTAGACAGGACAGTGCTGATCAGATCAATGTTTGCACGTTGCATTGAGCTTTTACTTACAGAATTCACCTGTACCCCTGTGAAGGTGTTCAATGACAATTAAAAAATTAGTTGCCACAGAGTCAACTCCTTGTGTGTGTCAGAGTAGAAATGTATACATAGGGTATTCAATGACAGGTTTTTAAAAAACTTTTTACTGTGATTTTTAAAGAAGTTTACAAAGCAAACTGGTTTTCCATTGAACAATTCTTATACATTTTAATTTGTGAGACTAGTTGCATTCCATGCAATGTAGCATTTCCTTTCTTCTTTCTTTCCTTCTCCTCTGGCCTTCTGAGCTTTATCCCTGGATAAATGTTACCCTTTTGATTTATATGGTTATAATGAGTGTGTACTTCCCTGGGTCAATTTATCAACCTGTCCTATGCCTGAAAGTTGAGTCATGGGGGTTAGTTCAGTTCCAGACCTGAAGAGTGTCCAAGAACCTTAGTCTTAGGGTTCCAGCAGTCTCTGGAGCCAGTAAGCTTGGTTTTTATGATTTTGAGTTTTGTTCCATATTTTTCTCCCACACTATCCAGTATCTTCTATTGGGATCTTTTTTAGATCAGTTGATAGTGGTAACCAGGCACCATTTAGTTCTTCTGGTCTCAGAGTTGTGGAAACTTGGGTTTGAGTGGTCCATAAGTCCTTTAGACTAATTGAGTCTATGCAACTTTGATTTTCTTCACTCTTCTTTCTTCTGTACAATTGTACCTTAGATAGCTACTCAGATGCTTTTAAAACTCCAGTTTGATACTCACCAAAGTAGGATATGGTGGTGGTGGTGGTTATGTGCCGTGAAGTCGATTCCGACTCATTGACCTTGTATAGGGTTTCCAAGGCTGTAAATCTTTATGGGAGCAGAAAGCTTCATCTTTCTCCTGTGAAATTGCTGGTAGTTTCATACTGCTAACTGTGAGATTAGCATCCCAACTCATAACCAGAGCTCCTTAAAGTAGGATATAGAATATTGTGAATGACTGATTTTTTTCAATGTAGATTGCCAGGACTTTCTTCTAAGGTGCCTCTGAGTGGGTTTGAACCCCTAAACTTTTGGTTAGTAGATGACAGCATTAATTATTTGCACCACCCAGGGACTTGTGAGGGGTAGTTGTAGTCTTTGTTGTTGTTGCTAGGTTCTGACGCATTGCCACCCTATATAGGGTTTCCGAGGAGTGCTGATGGGCTTGAACCTGCTGACCTTGTGGTTCAGGCTGACCTTTGTGTCCACTGCACATCTTGCCCCATTGTGACTGAATGAAAATGGAAGTTGGGAAGTGACCATTCTCTGTGGCTTTCCCTGAGGCTCTGCCTGTCCCCCTCTTCACCTGTACTGTTCACGGACAGGTAGGAGACTGGAGAAAGTATATGCTGGGAGAAAGTAGAGGTGGGTGGACACAGTTGTCAAGAAGATGTTGAGGCCTTTTTGTGTGCAGTGGGAGCTGGAATGGGCCTCAGGACCCGGGCTTCACATAGCCGGGATTCCTGCGAGGGGAGTGTGGGTGTGAGAGCGCTGATAGAGGGAGTGAGGCAGGCCCAGAGACAGTGGAGAAAGCTGTCTTACCTGCAGGTCATTGTGTTCGGGGAGGCCCGTGGCAGGCGTTCCCATTTTGAAATCCCCTTGCATACTTTGTGAGAAAGAGCAAGTCATTTTCTCCTGGCTCAGTTAGCATCCATGTCCCCATTTTGATGTTCTTAACCAGGTGACTGCTCCTCAGGGGCTCCCCAAACCACAAGCTTGAGGGCTGGAAATGCGCGCTCATCACGTACAATAAACCAGGAGAAACCACCACTGCCCCCTTGCTGCCGCAGCTGGGATCTCACACACGGCCAGTGCTTCCTGTCTGTGACAAGCATATTCGTTGGGGTCCCACAGGGAAAGACCCCACAATTTAAGTTCCTGTGCTTTGACTTAAAACAAAATTTCCTTCATTATACTTGGGTGGCCAAGTACATCCATGGCTTGAGACTAAAAAAGAGATTCGTTTTCATGGTCATAGAGCAGGGTTTTGAAACGGCAACGCTACTGACATTGGAGTCAGGAGAATTCTGTGTTGTGTTGGCTCATCCTGTGCATTGTAGGATGGTTAGCAGTATTTCTGGCCTATACCCACTTTTTCCAGTTGTTCTCCCCACACCGGCCCCCTTGTGACTATCAAAAATGTTTCCCCAAACCAAAACAAACCTACTGCCAGTCAGTCGATTTCGACTCATAGTGACCAATGTAAGGTGTTGTAGTTAGGTGCCATAGACTGGAAATTACCAGACTGGAAATCTTTACACGGGCAGACAGCCTTTTCTCCTGAGGAGTGGCTGTGGAGTTGAGCTGCTGACTTTACAGATAGCAGTCCACTGCTTAATCCTACCAGGTCATCAGGGCTTTAGACATTGCCAAATGTCCTCTGGGGAGCAAAATTGTCCCTATCCGAAGCACTGATGTGGAGAGCTAGCAGCTAGTAGTGATACTTCTGTTTGATACAGAGCAAGAGAGGGCCCCTCAGCTCTGGGCCTCCACAGAGCCCTGGAGCTCTAGACTGGGAAAGTCCAGTTCATCTCCCACTGCTCCATGCATAACAGTCCTTTGGGGGCAGGGAAGGGGACACCGACTCAGGCAAGCATTTCCTCCAGTGTCTCCAGGGTCACAAGAGCTCAGCCATCCCAGAATACACCGAGGCCTCTGGCATCAGCTTGTCCATTCATTCAGCATGTCCTGATCATTAGACGGAAGATCATTAGACTACAGTCTGATATGCGGAGGTGAGGAGAGGCAGCGGGGACATTTAGGAGTTAGATGCCAGCGCTCCATGGGCTCCCTTAGACAGATCAGCTGCCCAGCCCCCAGGTCAATGAGAAGCCATCCTCATCGGTACAGCAGCCCTCCACCTGTCTGAGAGACATCGGGAGATTCTCTGTAGAGCAGGGACAAACACGCCATCTGAAAGCCCTTATCAGGGCCATGCACAAGCTAGGGGGTCAAGACAGGCAGGGCTGACAGCAGCCATCTCTCAGGCTCTGGGGGACTTGAGTCCAAGCTCAGGACAGGACTGTTTTTGATAGCCAGTGCACAACTGGGCCTGGTGTGCCTGGAAACCAACCACCTGGGGCCATGCCCCCAGTGGGGAGTTCTCCTCACAGTGTTCCAAAAATCCCAGGATTCCTTTTCCACATTGCTCTGTCTTACTGAATCAGTCAGTTGATTGTCTGTTTTAAAAGACACTGGGCCTCACTGGGATGATTCTAGGTGGGCTTTAATGTGGGAAGGAAAACAACTGAACAAGCAGGAAGCTTGCCTGAGTGCCAGGAAGAGTAAGTATAAAGGAAGCCGGCTGAGCCTGGCTGCTGAGCCCTTTGCTGAAGGCAGTGACCTTGTAGAGAGAGGCAGTTCATGGGTGTACTTGATGTCTTCCCTAGCACCCACCTCCCTGTCAGCTCCTGGGAAGAGAGACAAGTCCTGTAATATTGCAAAGAAGCTTAACTCCAGTGATACTTCTGTTTGATACAGAGCAAGAGAGGGCCCTTCAGATCTCACGTAGACCAGACCCTCAGCTGGGCCATCCCCTGTTGAGGTGGTTACCATTCTGTCCCGTGCTCCCTGAATGAATAACTTCTTGCAGTGGATGAGGTCTGTAACTGAGCTAGAGGGATGGGTGTACAAAAGTTTCTGAAGTGCACACACACAATGGAAGAACTGGGCTCTAGGGGATTTCTGTGTTCATATGGAAGGGCTTTCAGGTAGAGACAGCAGAGTTGAATGCTTCCCAGATCTCTCCTGACTCACTCCCCTTGCGATCTTTGTTCCCTCTTCTCAGAGCTGCGGATCTTGCTGCTGTGTGGCAGTGACCTGCTGGAGTCCTTCTGCATCCCAGGGCTCTGGAACGAAGCAGATGTGAGTAGCGAGGTTATGGCGTGGACTGGGATGCGCAGGACCGGGAGGGTGCATTTGTTTTCGGCCCTTTGTCTTGTCTTCCCCCTCCTTTGGAGCTCCTGGAGGGCAATCCATTCACAGGCTCTGGAAGAAAACTCTCACCTGCCCCCCCCCAACTTAATCTCCTGTGGCTTTTTTACACTCCTCCTCAATCTTGCCCCTGGAAGAAAAGCCATCTGAACCATACAGAACCTTACTCCAAACAGTGCTTGGTGTGGACAAAAGCAATCCAAACACAATAATCCTCTGCCCTTTTGAAATTTCTATGTGTTTTGTTTTCCTTTCATTCATTTTGAAGAGGTAGTTAGTACCACCCTACAATTTACTCAACAAGAGAAAAAGGGTCAAGAGGGGAGAAGTTATGGCAAAAGGACAGTAGGACCCTCCTGACTATTGATTTAGGATAGTGAACCAAGTCTTTAAACTTATGTCATTTAGAAGTGCAATCATCCTTTGTTACCAGATCTAACTGTGATGATCTTAAACCAGCCAATGTATGGAGCTACCACTGACACACATTAAAGGCTTCTTCAGATAGCCTTTATTTCCACAAACTCTTCCATTCATTCATTCATTCATTCATTCATCTGTTAGCCTTAACTAATGCTAGCTCCATACGCCACAGCCACTTGAAGTTGTATCCCCAGAGCATCCATCCCAGATCTAGTGCTTTTTAATTGCCTTGCTGTGTGACCTCATGGAAATCACTCAACTCCTCTGGGCCTCAATTGTCTGTTTTTTAATCTATAAAATTATTTAGAACACTGTCTATAATATTGTGAGATGCTGGAGACATTTATGACACTGCAACGCCAAGCATATTCAATCTATATTAGGTGACAAGATACGTGTGTGTGTGTGTATGGTGTGTGTGTGTGCTGCTCTGATGAATATGGTGGTAGTGGGCTTCCATAAAGATGGATAGCCTTAGAAACCCTATGGGGCATGCCTAGTCTGTTCCAGAGGCTCACTGAGTCAAAATTAACTCAAAAGCAGTGGACATACCATACCTTCTGTAGCTTTTTTATGACAACAACAAAGAAAGGATACAATTGAGGGTTTGGGTAGGGCCCACCAGGGAGTTTCCATGATCCAGAGAGGGATGTGCCACCTTCTCTTGTGCGTGGTCACCAACCCAGAGACTTCACTTGAGCCTCAGGATTTAGGGCTCTTGTAAATCCCATCACACAGCCATGAAATGTGGTCAGCGCCCAGTCCCCTGGTTGGTCCCTACTGGGTTGGTCAGCCCTTATTTATAGCTTCAGCTGTTGCAACTGCTCGAAAGAACTGAAAGCCAAAGGCCAAATTGCAAGAGGAAGACTGACGAAGAAGAACGAAGAGTGTGACCTCTAAACCGAACGCTCCTTATACTCAACACAGCTTGTGACAAATGTTAATCTGAGTTCAGTTTTCCCCATTTTTAAAAGAGAATAATAATAGTACATACTTTATAGGATTTGGAAGAATTAAATGAGATTACCCATATAAAGTATCTAGCATTGTCCCTAGCACACAGTTAACATGAACAAACATTAATAAATGAATTTTACCTAAATAGACACATAGATGTTGTTAAGTGCTGTCAAGTCGGTTCTGACCCATAGCGACCCTGTGTAGGGTTTCCGAGGAGTGGCTAGTGGGTTTGAACTGCTGACCTTGTGATTCAAACCAACCTTGTAGTCGAGTGTTTATCCTACAGCACTACACTTGGTCTCCAGACACATAGATAGACACATAGCTCTTCAAGGTGGGGGCCATTAGTGCTAACATGCTGCAGGATAAAGAAGAAGGGAGGGAGAGTTTTAGGGAAGCAAATTATACTGTGTAGTCCTTTCATCTCTACCCGGAACAATTTCCTGCAGGTGAAATGCTAAACCTTCTTTCAGTTCTGGATTAAGTGGCTTAATTACCTTTTGCTTCCCTCTCTGCTTCACAAGGTGCTGTGAAAGTAAAAAATAATGCAGGCAAAGTTCTGTACAAGATCTCAGCAAAGCTCTTTCAAGAATCCCGGCAAATCTGGGCAACTGCCTGGGCCCCATACCCTGGAGAGGTTGGGCAGTTAAGGAGGGATTTAGAGGGATGAAGCCAGCAGCTGGGGCAACAACCTGAAGTACCTTGAGGAGTAGGGAATCCCAGGGAGCAGTTTGTTACTTCCCGGGCAAAAAACTGGGTGGGAGTGGGGGTGTTGTCTGTTACCTTTGTGGAGTCTTCCTCTTGAAGGTTCCTCAGGCTTTCTGGGTCCTGAAGTCTATATGATTTGGAGCTCACCCTACTAGGCCAGTTCCACTCAGTTTCCCCCAGGTGAATTGCTGACTAAGTTCCTCTCATTTTCCTACAAAGTGGCAACACTTGAGCACCTGAGAGAAGGGCCCTGGGTCTCTCCTCTTTGAGCTAGTTGATTACATGGAAGGGGAATGACACCTTGGCTAAAATCAGTAGCTGTTGATTTACCAGGAATGTGACCATGGAGGTGGAGTGAGACCTAGGCCCATTCACCCACCTTCTCACTTGAGCAGTCCTGACCCTGACTCACTTCACTGTTGCCTTCCAGAAGAATTGCATAAAATTTCAGTCCTTTGCAAGTCACCATGGGAAAACGGGATACATTTTCTTACTCATTGCCAAATCCATGGCCATAAAGTCAATTTTAAGTCATCGTGGCCTATAGACAGGGTAGAACTGCCCCACAGGGTTTCCAAGACACTGTAGGATAAACACTCAACTGCAATTTCAGTTTGAACCGCAAGGTTGGCAGTTCAAACTCACCAGTCATTCTTTGGAAACCCTATACAGGGTTGCTATGGGTCAGAACCAACTCGACAATACTTAACAACAACAATTTTTATAGAAGCAATCAATGTGCCACACCTTTCTCCTGTGGATCTGTTGACTAGTGGTTTTGAACTGCTGATCTTTTGTGAGCAGTCAAGCAATTACTAACTACAAAGCCAGGAGGGCTCCTTGGGACTCCTTCCCACGCTGCTACTCACCAGTCTGAGATAGATGACTTAGGAGAATGCCCTGGAAGCCAGTGATGGGTGTGACAATAAGATAAGGTGACAGACCTCTACCAGTTTGACCTGGGCTTCGGCAGGATTTGAATCTGGAAGTCCCATGTCCTGGGAATTCTCTCAGTTCTGAACAAACTAGGAGGGTCAGTCACCCTGGCCACCCAGGGCACTCAGTCTGGCTACATCCACAAGTACAGAGCACAACAATCCAGGCCCACAGGGACTCTGTGTCTCTGCTGTCCATGGAAGCCAGAGTCTATTTCACTGCAGAGGCACTGGGAGATCTGCGGGGAGAAACCCTTGAAACGCATACCAGCTGGTTTTCCAGAACCCTGTCACCCTTCCTCTTAGTTAAGCAATTGCTCGGTGCCCTGACTCAACCCCCTGCAAATCTGAAGGGTTTTTAGACTCACTGCTTGTGAGGTAGAGAGGTAAAGACACCAAGGAGCTGTTTCCTTACATAACAAATATGACTCTCAGTCCACAAAAAGAGGGGTACCATAAATATCACCTTTAATTTATTTAAATAAAATCCAAAGTCAAATCCCTATGCTGAGGAATGGTGGGAAGTTGAGTCTGAGTGATTACTGATTACCAGTAATGGAGAGGCTCTGTGTACTGTGAAAAACAGGACAGGCCTTCATCTCTTTGTCAGTTACCACAGCCATGCTCCCTTGTGCTCTCTTGAAGTTGGTGGCACTCTGCCTTCATGCCCACCTGGGGGCCTGGGACTCCCACCTAAGACTGGGAACCCAATACTGGTCTCACCCACCTATGACCACCAGGCCTCATTCTCCTCTGAGACCTTGTCCCTAGGAGGTTGTCCCAGAGGGAGGAGGGTGTGGGCTTTAGCTAAGAACGTGTGTGAGAGGGAGGAAATGATAAAACCAAACACATTGCCATCAAGGTGATTCCAATCCATAGTGACCCGATGTTGGTGTTGTATAGGGTTTCTGAGAAGCGGCTGGTGAGTTTGGACTGATGACCTGTTGGTTTAAACTGACCTTGTGGTCCAATGCTTATCCTACAGCACCACATCAGGAGCCATTGTACTCCTGAGAGAGGGAGCGGAAAAGGGAGACAGAGAAAGAGAGGGATAAAGAAAAGGGGTTGGGGAGGCTGGGAACATTGTTTTCCTTCTCTCTATTCTCTTTCCTCTCCCCTCCCCACACATCAAGCAATATTTTTTCAGTGAGGTTAAGGGCACTTCAGATACCTTCTTTTTTTCTGCAAAATTCCCCAAAGGCAAGAAAGGGTCTAGTTCTCAGTCAGAAATAGGGCTGAGAGTGAACAACAAAGGGGCTGTAGGGAGAATTCGATGACTTACTCCACTGTCCTTACTTAGAGAAGGTTGCATCTCAAGTGTCTGGAAATAGAAGGTCTTTCAAGACTCGGCATAGGGTGAGTCCTGCTTATTGTACTAGAAAGTTCTACTATCTAGGGGTTGCCTAGAAGGGACCCATTTTAGGGATTTCAGTTCCTGACCATGAGATTGTGCTGGTGTGCCGTGGAGTTGGTTCCAACTCATAGCAAACCTGCATAGGGTTTCCGAGGCTGTAAATCTTTATGGGAGCAGAAAGCCTCATATTTCTCCCATGGAACAGCTAGTAGTTTCAAACTGCTGACCTGTGATTAGCAGTCTGACTCCTAACCACTACACTACCAGAGCTCCTTGACCGTGAGATTACCAGGGATCAAGTATATGAGACCCAGCATTTATTCATTCGTTCCCTCATCCATTTTATCAGAACACATCTCTCTTTATTACCTGGTACCCTAAGTGACTCTTACAGACCACCAACTTCTGCTCAGAGACCAGTGCCCCCAAAGCCAAGAATGAGGAAACAGAGTAGAAAGGAAAGCAAAGCTTCTTGGGAAAATCCTAGGTTCTGGCTCCTCATTCCAGTCTCTCTTGTCTTTTCCAGAATTCTCAGAAACAAGGCAGGTGAG